CTCCCAAAGTGCTGGAATTACAGGTCTGAGCCACCGTGTCCGGCCTCTTTTTAACATTTTTCAATGGTTTAAAAAAATCAAAATAGTATTTTGTAAAAACTATATAACATTCAAATTCCAGTATCCACTTATAAAGTTTTATTGGAACACAGCTGTCCTCATCTGTTTCTGTATTAACTATGTCTGCTTTTGCACTAAAATGTTTAGTGGCAAAAGAGACCATATGGCCCATAAAGACTCCTTTACACAAGTCTGTTGACCACTGGACTATGCCCAAGTGAGTCCTTGGAGGGGACCCACTGGAGCTCCCCACTATAGATTTTTTGTTTCCAGATATTCATACTGGGAAAGGGGTGATACACTAGGACAGTATTTGCAAGGATCTGATAAGGGGGACACTCTAGAACATAAATACATGATGGTTACCTCAGAAAAGATATAAACGCCTAGTAAAATCTGGGTGGGCTGATTGAAGAAGAAGCAATTGGAGAATGCAGGGTAACATACACAGTTTAGTAGCAAAGGTAGGCTCTTATTGAGTCACATGGGACCCTGCTGAGACCCAATCCCAAAGAGCCCAGCGAAACTCGCTGGTGATGATGTCTGCAAATAGCAGGGAGGCTGAGCAACATTTGTAATGCAATGACAGACAATTTCCCAATAGTACCCCATTCCTTTATCAGGTGTCCTCAAGTCATTTAGCATCCAGATTTATCCAGGCATTTCCAAAGGCAAGTCTAGACTTTGACGAAAAAATTGATCTGAAAAAAAGGTTCTGGGAAGGAGGCCCCAGGTAAACATTTTTCCCCAAATGATAACACTTCAATGAGGACTCAGTGAGGATCAGAATTCAGAAGAGAGCAGAACCCTCCACAAGTTTTTCTAAGTCACAGATTTGGTGAACATTTTATTCTTTCTCTTTTTGATCATTACTAGTGGGGCAAATGAAGCAAGGTAGGGTGGGGTGATGGAAGGGGAGAATTGCATAAAATCAGTGTTAGGATGATCTGCCCCGGAAGGCATGTATTCCTCTTAGACTCTCAACTGTGGCATAAAACATTCCTTGTGGACTTTGAATTAGAATGAACGTGGGGGCGGGGATAAAGATCAACCTGAAAGCCGAACAGAGTCATTGACCGATGGTGTTAAGCTTCAGAAAGCTTGCAGATGGCCAGCTCTCCTACTGACATCCCACAGAAAGCCAGGCTTGATCTCCTGTGGTTAGGTGGAGCTTCTCCTGCCAGGGAAAATACAGCTGCTAGGAGAATGGGCTTTGGATGTTATAGCTCTGAAAAAGTTTCATGACTCTTGCTACTTTAGAGGTAACCATATTGCCTCCTTGAGAAACTGGTGACACTGGATGCCTCTGGGGAGTGCAACTGAGGGTGGCTAAGGTGCCCATGTCCCTTAGAAAAAACAAAATAAATAAATAATTCCCCCATGTCACCCCACCCTGCTTCTTGAAGACAGGAAGGCAACCCGGGGCCAGGGCTGGAGCAGACAAATTTCCTTACTCAGCAGCTGACACAGGGAGCTGAAAGAAGGATCCAAAAAATCAGAGAGAAGAGTTGTAAGTTAAGTGGAAAACCATGACCCAAAAGTCAATTCAAGGATCAGCACACCAAAGTGACCAAAAGCAGCTACTGAAGATGTGACCCAGGACCAGAAAACAAAGCAACAAGGAAAGAGAGGAGTAAGAGCAAAATGGTGGAGAATAAACTGAGAGGTGTCTGAAAACAGCCAAGGACAAGAGTCTGGGGTGCGACAGACACATAGCTGGATGTGTGAGACTACCGGACCAGGAGCTCAAGAGGCCTAGGCAGCAAGGTGCAGGCCAGGGCAAAATGTGGATCAGTAATAAAATAGATTTGGTGGGTGGGCACATTAGAAGTACTCATATAAGAACTTTCCTATTTGGGGATGCCTAGATCATGCTCTACCCTTGGGTTTAGAGATTCTGAGCAGCCAAATGTGAATGTTTTGCTCTGGATAAGTCCTTTTCATTATAGCCAACTGGAACCATTTGAATTCACACTCCTAATTACCTGCTTCTGGCTGCTGTGTCTAAACCATAGCTTCTGGTACTCTACACTCCACCAAAGGTCTTGGTCCAGCATCATTGGCACAGTCACACCAGCCGTGTTCATAGGACTGGAATAAAATCCAGAAGTAAGTTGTCTCAGGACCTCTGTTTTATAACAGGTTAGAAACAACTCCTGTAGGTATGGTTGTAGGATCCTGGCCTGGGTCCAGGAGCATATAAATCTGTAACAATTACCACTGGGTGGGCCTCAGCAAGGATTAATATGAGGTTCAGCAACAAAGCTGCAAGAACTAGTGGTGGGGACTTTGTTCCTAAAGTGCAGTGTCCCCGGTGCCAAGTGCTTGTGGGCAACCTAGAGCTGCATCTGATGTAGGAAGACTTAATGGTCCTAAAATGGAACGTCTAGAAACTGTTAAGGAGCTGGAGATCTATAAGCTGTTGCTTGGTTTAGGAGTTTTCTTACACAGTATCTCGTCTTCATGGGACAAGGTCTAGCTTTCAAAGTGCCTCAAAACTAACAGGTGTTGATCCAGCGCAGTAGCTCACGCCTGTAATCCTAGCACTTTGGGAGGCCGAGGCAGGTGGATCACCTGAGGTCAGAAGTTCGAGACCAGCCTGGCCAACATGGTGAAACTCCGCCTCTACAAAAAATACAAAAAAATAGCTGAGTGTAGCAGCGTGCACCTGTAATCCTAGCTACTCGGGAGGCTGAGGCAGGAGAAACACTTGAACCCGGGACGCAGAGGTTGTAGTGAGCCAAGATCGTGCCACTGCACTCCAGCCTGGGCAGCAGAGCAAGACTCCGTCTCAAAAAACAAAACAAAACAAAAACAGGTGTTAATGAGGAACTTGTAATTTTTGGAGGTGAGTAGAGAAAGTGAAGGAACAGCACTAAAAGTAACTGTGATGAATGAGTGTTGTGCCTCTACTATCAAGCAATATTGTCTAAGAGGAGCTGTTATATGTAAAAATCCTTGAGTAAAACAGAGACTGGCCAATTCTCTGAAACGCTATTACCAAACCCCTGCCCCCTGAATGTTTCTAGTCTATGTGGTATTACTTGGAACCCACTTGGGAAAAGTTGCATTCCATAAATCTGGCAGAGGCAGGAAGAGAAGACACAGAGTTTGAATTTGCAGAAACTACTTGTCGGAGTCCAAATGGAAAATCACATATCAAATTAGTTGTTACAAACCTATTCACAGACTCAGGGGAAGCAATTTAATAACAACTGGCATAGAGTTGGAGGTATAGGAGAGGAAGCAAATTATCCCAAATTGTTCATCTGCTGCAACACCATTATCTTCCTCTTTGAACTTTGTTATTTTAGCCAATAGTGTCATCATTTTTCCTTTTTTCTTTTTTTTTTTTGAGACAGTCTAGCTATGTCACCAGGTTGGAGTGCAGTGGCACAATCTTGGCTCACTGCAACCTCTGCCTTCCGGGTTCAAGCGATTCTCCTGCCTCAGCCTCCTGAGTAGGTGGGACTACAGGCACGCACCACCACACCCAGCTAATTTTTATATTTTTAGTAGAGACGGGGTTTCACCATGTTGGCCAGGATGGTCTCGATCTCTTGACCTTGTGCTCTGCCTGCCTCAGCCTCCCAAAGTGCTGGGATTACAGGCGTGATTCACTGCATCTGGCCAGTGTCATTTTCTACCGATGCAGGTTGGAAGCCTCATGCTGTTCCACCTGCCCTGGAAGCTTTCCGTAATGTCACAGCCCCGTCTCACCCATCCTCATGGGTCCAGTTCAAGAACCATCTCATCCATGAAGCTCATCAGCCCTTGGAGATCTTGTTCATAACTTTCACATTGTCAATGCCCAGCAGTGTTCTAAAAACAGCAAGTTCTCAAAACTATAGGCATTAGTTACTAAAAACAGGCTGCTGTGTGGGAATCCACACGTAGGCAGCAGATTCCCTTAATTCAGGGACTAGAGAGCCACTTGGTCTTCCTCTCCACACATCACGGCCTAGGGCTGGGTCCCTGGGTTTCTATTTTCTAGGACCAGATACTCATCTTCCAACAGAGGAGATACCCAAATGAGTGGAGATCCAAAGAATAGGACTAGAATGAAACAAACCCAGCTCTTCTGTGAGATGTAGGCCTGTGAGAAGATCAGTATTGGTGGCCAACCCCGATTCCTAAGGGGCGCCCACTGAGTCATCCGGACCAGATCAGCCCCTAGGCCCAGCACTGTTCAGTAACACCAGCATGCCACTGCATTATGTACCATACCTCAGGCCCTGACTGCGAAGCAGGCTGAAACTGTAAGCCTTCTTTTGGGGTCCTCCCAGAAGAGCATGCCTCCCTGGGCACAGAGATACAGATTCCAGGAGCTCCTGTTCCTCTCTTCTCACTGGCATGATCCTCTGAGGCAGAATGTTGAGAACAAAGGAACAGGACAGCCACAACAGCTAAGGTCTGGGCAGAGAAGAAATCCAAACTTGTTGAGCAAAAGAAATCAAGAACAAGCAAATACCAGAAGGGAACAGCCAGAAGTTTTTCAGTTATGAAGAACAGCAAGGAAAATGGTCCAATAGTCCAGCAAAGAGTAATGAGGAGGGCCATGGTACATAGGGAGGAGTAGTGAAGACTGAAAAATAGGTGAGCAGCCAAAGAAGGTGCCTAACAGTGAGGCAGCACCCTAGTTCTGGTTCAGCTAACTCACATTCCTCTCACCATGGGGTGAACCAATCCTCAGCTACCCTGGGGGGAAGGCTTGTTGAAGATGACGCCTGCAGAAGCTGGCTGGCAGGGTAGTGGACTCTGGGATGGGATACGGACAGGGGCATTTCCCCATCAGCCTCACCCTGGAGATAACTCCATGTTTCAGAACCTGTTACCTTTTTCCTCAAACATGAGCTTTTTTTCCTAGTTTCCTTTGAAAGATTGGACTGAAAGTCAAGTTTTCGTGGTTTAGGCTCACCCTTCAAAACACCCGAAATAACTTTTGCAGAAACCTTCCTCATGTTCAAGTTTTCTTTCAAAATGAGCCTAACAGTTTCTTTGTCTAAATTTAACTCTTCGGCCATCATCCTCACGGTTAACTGCCTGTTTGAACAAACCAAGTCCTTGACCTTCTGGATATTGTCATCTGTTCGGTGGGTGACCGGACGCCCACTTCTGGCATCATCTCGAACATCTTCCCGTCCTTCTTTAAACCTTTTGTGCCAGTCAAAAACTCTGGCCCTTGACATGACTTCTTCCCCATAAGCTTCTTTTAAAAGATGGTGGGTCTCACTTGCAGACTTGTTCAATTTCACGCAAAATTTGATACTGATCCTTTGTTCTAAATAGCGGTCACTCATTCTGGCACTGAAAAACACAGGAACGCTAACAGGCCACGACTGTAAGGGAAAAACGGACAGATCAATCTTTATATGCCTGCAGGTGTAATTATATCGCTGTTCTTGCTCTTCTAGAAGCCTCGCCGGGAAAGAGTAATTGCTTTTATGAATTTTTGTCCCTCAGCTTCCAGTCGAGGCTGGGGAGATCCGTTCTGGGACGCTAACAGGGCCAACAGTCGCTGCACAGCTGGGAAAAATTAAATCGCCTACAACCACTGCATCCAACCAGTGCACGCACATCTGCCGAGAGTTTGCCAATCAGTCAACAAGGTTGCTCCGATTCCGCGGCCCTTAAGGAGTATATGGCGAATTCTGCAAGAAAGGCCTAAGTGTTGGCAAATTAAGCAAGCAAGAAGAGATGCATCGGTGATGTAACGTGCAAGCTCGCCCTAGATCTGCAGAAACCCGCGCACGCCAAACCTACCGGAGCAGCCAGGGTATCGCCTGCTCTAGCGTCCCGGGAGACAGGCGCGCATGCGCAATTCTCTTCCTTCCGCGGATTAGACTGTGCGCAGTCGCACTGCGGCAGCGCGCGCCAGGTCCCGCCTCCGCCTTGCCACACCCGGCAGGCGCGCTTCCTTGCGCGTGCCCGCCGGCGGAGAAGGCGGAAAGGAGGGGCGGGGGAGGAAGGCTGAGGGAAGAGAGGGCACCCCCGGGCGTCAGGGTGCATTGTGGGAAGGAGGCGGCAGCGTCTCGGGCGGGCGGGAGG